TCCCCCTCCTCCTTTCCCAAGCTACTAGATTAACTAGAGCCTGCTCTATCCATTTTGATCTTGTACTGGACAGATAGAACTAAAATTCCCAAAAAGTTGGGACGCTTTGTAAAATCTACATATAAACAGAATGCAATGATTTGCAAATCTCATAAACCCATATTTTATTCACAATAGAAAACATATCAAACGTTTAAACTGAGAAAAAAGCTGGCAAAGTAAGTGGTACTAACAAGGAAGAGCTGGAAAAACATTTTGTAATTAATTAGGTTAATTGGCGACAGGTCAGTAACATGATTGGGTATAAAAAGAGCATCTTCGAGAGTCAATGGGGGGGATTTACTAACCTAAACACACGCACGCACCAGGTGCGTGTGATTTTCACACAGCAAAATGTATTTATCAACCAAAAAGTCTCTAAAAGCATATTTCCACTAATGCCAAGTGGAAAACTGTTGTGTGGTCAGACGAATGGAAATTTGACTTTCTTTTTGGCAAGCATGGCCGCCTCATTATCTGGACTAATAAGGAGAGTGATCTTCCGGCTTGTTAAAAGCGTTCACTTCAAAAGCCTGCATCTCTGATGGTATGGAGGTGCATTAGTGCGTATGGAATGGGCAGCTTGTACATCTGGAAAGGCACCATCAATGCTGAAACATATATCCAGGTGTTAGAGCAGCATATGCTCCCATCCAGACAACGTCTTTTTCAGGGAAGGCCTTGCATATTTCAGCAGGGCAAACTGGCTAAACTGCATACTGCATCTATGACAACCGCATGGCTTTGGGTGCTTAACTGGCCTGCCTGCAGTCCAGACCTTTCACCAATTGAAAATATTTGGCACATCTTGAAACGAAAAATACGACAAAGAAGACCCAGGACTGTTGAGCAGTTAGCATCCTATATCAGGCAAGAATGGACCAACAATCCTCTCCCAAAATTCCAGCAACTGGTCTCCTCAGTTCCCAGACATTTACAGAGTGTCGTTAAAAGAAGAGGGTATGCTACACTGTGGTAAACATGGTCCTGTTCCTACTTTTTTGAGAAGTGTTGCTGCCATCAATTTCAAAATTACCTTTTTTTTTCCTTCAAATTGTAAATTTTCTCAGTTTAAACATTCAATATGTTTTCTATTTGTGAATAAAATCTGGGTTTATGAGATTTGCAAATCATTGCATTCTGGTTTTATGTAGATTTTACACAGTGTCCCAACTTTTCTGGAATTGGGATTGTAGTTCAGGGAAGTGGAACTGAGAGAGTTGGAACCAGTTGTTTGGAAATATGATGACCAAAGCTGGAAACTTACCAGAATTGACTCGGCAATGCTGAATCCGGTTGCTGGGTCATTGCCAGAACATTTACATCTCCTGATTGTCATTAATTCCGGAGATGTAAACAGAAACAAAGCTCAGCGTGTGTGAGTCATGTGTGCTACGCTTCGCTTGGGAGGAGGCGGTGGCATAAAAAGAAGAAAGCAGAGTCGAGACAAGGAAAGGGGCAGAGGGGGTACCGTGCAGAGTAGCAGCGGAGTGCTCGGTGCCACCTGGGATGCTCTCTGCGCTCTCCGGCACCCAGCACGAAGACGCTGGCAGCCAAGTGCACTAGTTCCTCCATCAGGCGGAGTGATCTCTGCCCAACAGATGAATTAGGGTCCAGGCTGTGAAATCAAGAATGAACAGAGACTAAAGCTTGCCATACACTGGCCAAATACTGGCCAAGTCAGCAGTACATTCGACTAAAGTGTGGCCCCATCGGGACTCCCCCCGTTTGACAAAACTTGTTTTTCAAATGATTTTTGAAGAAGCTGGTCTGAAAAATTTTGACCGAACAGTGATTGGAGCCAAGCAGCTGCAGCCACTGTTCGGGCATTCTGACAGAAGTACACCTTACGCTGTCAGAATACAATAGACCGGCCGAGGGGATCCGCCGCACTATTAGTGTAGATGGGTGAATTGAGAGTTTATTCTCAGTCAGCCCCACTGAGTTCTGACTTTATTCTGAATTTCTTGATTTGCAAGCAGCTAGCATTTTTAAATCAAGGTGAGCAATGGTAGCCTGGTATTTCTCTCAGAGCAGGTTTCCATTCCATTTCCCTCCAGAGCTTGTCATGTAAATCTCAAGACTGCACTGAAGAGAGTAAATAGCTACTGCTTGGGAAATGACAGGCAGAAGACAGTCACAGATCACATACATGTCAGATTTTCAAGTTATTCACAGATATCTAGGTTATTCACAGGTAGCCAGGCCTGATTTATAAAACCTCCGACCAGCCATATGCTAAGCACATGCCATTTTTACAGCATTACCACCACTAGATGGAGCATTTCCTATGTTCCCCGACTCTATCTAGTGGGGGGAATGCCGTCCAAACAGCATTCACCAAGTGTATGGCTGGGCAGGAGTTTTATAAATCAACCCCATACTGTTTACACATACTTATTTTTTTTACAAACCTTAAGGGCTCCTCCCTGTCTCCTCCCTCCCTCCTTCACAATAGCTTGGGGGCCAGGTTGGGGCGGGCTATGGGTGGGGCTACAACATGATATAGGCATGGCTTTGGCAGGCATGTTGGGGCGAGGCTAGGGAATGCCTCACCCGGAACCAAAGGTACCGCACGTCACTGCTAGAATATCTCTCTGACAAGGAAGTCCCCAACATGATTAAACAAACTATCCACAGTTCTAGATTCTCCTTTTTGGGATCTCGAAAGAACTCGGATTTTTTGAGTGGTAATGCTTTTGTTCTGGATATGTCCAGTTTTGTGGCACATCTACAAAGCACAGACATTGTACATTTATTCTTTGGCCTGTCCTTTAATTATCTGAGTTCTTTGAGATTCCAAAAAGGAGAAACTTGAACTGTGTATAGCTACTTTAATCACTTTGAGGACATTCTTGTGAGAATATTAGAGATAATCTTGATATAAAATATTACATCCAAACTTAGGTGGAATATTATAAGCAACACACAGGGCTCTATAAATGGGTGGCTCCTTTCTTTTAAATTTTTAAATGTTTTTATCTAACATGGTCATTTGGGCTACTAAATTGAGAAAAATTTTTTTTAAGAAATAAAGATTTTCATTTTCTTTTGTATATATTGGTGTGATACCTTTTTAAGGTTTTTTTTTTTTTTTAAAAAGATCCAATATTAATAAGGTTTTCATTGCTGTCAGTGCCCCCAACTGGGGAGATTCACCATCACTATTGGTCCTGGGGACCATTGTTTCCAGTACAGAAAGTGATGGCAAATCCAAACGATTTGAGTTGTCACAGGAGGAGGAGGTAATGGTTAATGAGGGGATATTCCCTCAATTTGAAGATATCTCCCCCTACTTTTAAATAATGGGACACAGAAAAGAAAAAAAAAAGAGAGGGGTCAACCATTTTCTACTCTGCCTAAAACCAGAAAGATCATTTTAGCTTTACATCTGCTTTAAATAGTAAAGGCACATATGTATATCAAATCAACATTTGTTTTAAAAAGAAGGATTTGCAGACACCTGTATGGAGATTTACAGGGTTATTCACAAAAGGGTGAAGAGTTTGGAGAAGGCAGGAGAAGTGAACAATCTAGGACAAAATAGCTGATTTGGAAAACGTCTCCAATTCAGCTCACTTTCCAGTTCAGCTATGTTGTCCTAGACTGTTCACTCCTGTCTTCTCTAAATGTGTCACCCTTTTGTGAATAACCCTGTTAGTATTTTTGGAATTGGAAACCCACTATGGCAGGATCCATAGTCCTCAATACAGGTTTCCTTTTGAGGAATTAGCCAGCATAAACACAAATGCCACAGTTGCCTCTGACCAATATGTTTTGTAACACAGAAAGCCCACTAAAGCCCACCAGTAATCAACATTAAAGCATTTCTAAAGCCAAAATGTTAGTTCTGAACAGAGCAGGGAAGAACCGCTATTGGCAAAATTCACCCTCTCTATGTCACCAAGACAGATAGTGAGGAGAAATCCAAAATGTAACAGTTGTTTCCAGAACAAGGGGGTTAACAGAAATCTTTCAATTGAAAAACCCTAGCTCCAGCAACAAGTGTCTAGGACAGTGATGGCGAACCTATGGCACACATGCCACAGAGGGCACGCAGAGGCCCCTTTGGTGGCAAGTGAGCCTAGGTGCCAGTTGCCAGGGCCCACACACTCCAGGTTCTCACCTAGGGTGTTCTGTGCGGGCCTCTGGTGTCCCCCCTGTCTCCATCTCACATTAAGTTTAAAGATGGCAGGTGCCCAGACCCCATTTAATATATTGCCAAACCGGCAATATATTAAATGAAAACCATGTCGTGGTAGTCCAGTGGTGGATCAGAATGATCTGCATCTCTTGCTGTTGCAGACCGTACTGATCGCTCCCTCACGGTGCCGCCGCTCACAGGCAGGAGCGATTAGTATGGATGTGATGTGATTCATTATGTGTGTGTTTTTTAATGAGTGTGTTATGTGTGTTATTTTTTAAACCCCAGTGCCCAACCTGCAACGCAATACCAAACTTATTTTCAGAGTTGGCACTTTGAGATAAATAAATTGATTTTGCGTTGTAGTTTGGGCGCTCGGGTTCAAAAACGTTCGCCATCACTGGTCTAGGATGATCTTTCCCCCGGCTTTGGAAATATTTTCTTTAACTTCCGATTGTGCCTTCAAGACAGGAGGTGAAGAGAAATCTCTCCAAAGGGACGCAGCAAAAAAAATTCCCAACTTTTCCCTTCTCTTTTCAAACCTAAGAACTGTTTTGGTTTAGATATACTGTACTTTACAGCTAAAGTACAGTCTTAAGTGCCAATATATCTAAATGGTCATTTCACAGTTCCAGATTTTACTTGCAGATGACTGCAGAGAAAGTCTGAAATTGTGACTGCTGGTCCAAGTGACAGAGTCCAGAAGGTATTAGAAGCATTCATACTGATGAACCCCTTCAGGATTACACACATCCAATTGACATATCAATGTTATTGTTCTATGGCTATCATTATTGTTTGTGTGAGTTGTACACACCTGCATTTCTCTCACACTGCTTGAGTGGTAATACTCATTTTGCTCAGAAGACAACAATGCTTCACATAGATTGAATTTCTGCAGCTCTAGCAAAGAGGACAGTTTCTTGCTGGAGATGCTCTCTTTAGCCATCCAGTAGACAGTGGTCAGGATAGCTATCTTGGATGGATCCATCTCAGCTTTGATAACAGACTTCAGCTCTTGGTGAAACTGTAATTCCATTGCCAATTGCTCCCTATTTACAGCAAGTGCTTGCTTGTGGGCGCCAGAGGTCACATGACGTAAAAGTGCATGTCGTTGAAAATTGTCTGTACCTACAGTAAAGGCATTCTCGGCCTTGCCATGTTTGTTCTTCACAAGGGCCTGACGGCACTCAACACAAAACATCAGCTTGCGTTCATAGTCAAACTCCAGCCAGGTGAACTCTTCCTTCCAGTGCTCATTGAAATACCGCTTGCATTTCTTGTTGGAGTTTGAAGTCTCACCTGCTGGCTTTTTTCCAGGAGTCACCATACTTCCACTGCCACCCATTCTGAAATCAAACATGATGGGAGGGCTGATGTTTTCCATGCTGCGCTAGACTGAGAAAAGATCTCTAGTTCAGTTTTAGAGCCAGACTGGTGGATGAAAGAGAAAACAAATTAGGGATCCTGCAATGTACTGTTTTACACACCAATTCTGACAGACATTTTGGTGTATGATGATCCTCCAGCCAAGTCATCAATGGAGGAAGACATTTCAGGTTCTAGTAAAGAGGTTTTTGTTAACTCTCCAGTACTCAATGCACATACAGTATATTACCAGCAGTTCCTAGTCTATGTGCCATGTGTACCTTCAATGTATGTATTTGGGGAGCCCCTTAATGTCTCCATGTACAATGCAGGACCACTGGCAGTGCTTGGGGGAGACACTGAAAGGTGATTTTTTTTCTACAGATTCCAGCTTTAACATTTATCTTGATATCGTTTAAAAAACGTATTTGTGCAAGGTGTAAAAATCTCAGCACCCACATTTGCTCATTACATGTGTAGTTTCTGCTTTCCTGATTAGTAATACTGTACAATGACCAGTTGTGTATTTAGGTTTTGTGTTGCCATAGGCAAGACTACACTCGGGCACCCCTCCAATCTAAATTTGTTCCACCCCTTTCTGTTCCAAGACATTTTGCTGTATCCAGCCTCTGACAGGTGGCGTTAGTAGCATAGCAGGGAAGCCGGGGTTTCAGGGAAGCCCATCATAGACCCACAGAACCCCTGCGAGACCCCAAAAGGGCCCACCTGAGTCTCCGCAGATCCCACCCCTTATTCTGCAGACCCCACCACAGACCCTGCAGAGCCCACCACAGACCCTGCAGAGCCTACCTGAGACCCTGCAGAGCCTACCTGAGACCCTGCAGAGCCTACCTGAGACCATGCAGAGTCGACCACAGACCCTGCACAGCCCACCATAGATCCTGCACAGCCCACCATAGATCCTGCACAGCCCACTATAGATCCTGCACAGCCCAGCTGATACCCTGCAGAGCTCACCTGAGACCCACTATAGAACCCGTGCAGTTCATCCGAGACCCTGTAGAGCCCACCACAGACCCCGCATAGCCCACCATAGACCCCACAGAGCCCGCCAAGGAGACTTTCAGGTGGGCTGTGCAGGATCTATGGTGGGCTGTGCAGGTTCCCTTCCTCTGCACACATGTGCTGCTCCTTTTAGCTGAAGCCCCCCAGCCTGCCTCTAGGGCATCCCGCTGTCCCGCAGCACCTGCGCCGGCCGGGCCGCATCTCACTCTGCCCCTTCTCGCCTCGGTCCCTCCTCTGCCCCGCCTTTGGTCTGCCTCCTCCACCCAGAAGCTCTCTCAGTTAAATTGGCCTGATTAGGCATCCGAGGTTGCCTGATTCTGTGTGGCCTGGCTTGCCGCACCCCAGGAAAGTGCCGCCCAAGGCAAATGCCTTGTTTGCCTTGCGGTGAATACGCCCCTGACAATGACTACACTTTCCTGCTTTTTTCTTTCAGTCCAAGTCTATAGGTCAGGTCTGACCTAATTTGAGGTAACATTTATATACCTGTAGAAAAAAAACAAAATATGGGACAACAAGGAGGTGAAAATGTGAAATCATGAATGTTGCTTTTAGGTAAATAATATTAATCAAAAGTGGACTCCAGGGAAAACAGAAAATAAAGCTTTAAAAAAGCATGCAGGGAACACAGCCTACCCGCTCAGGTCTCCAATTTAATCCTCAGCTCATTGGTTTGGCACTTTCATTGGACTTTGTAAACATCCAATTTATCCTAGACTTGCAATAGTGTACCAATTCCTTTTGCTGGCAAACAAATAATATTGGAATCTCTTTGCATGTCAATTTGTAATGCAGAGCAGGTAGTCCCACTACATATCCACCCTCTGTAGGTAAGTTGTTGCTTCTCACATACAGAAAGTTAAAGTTATAATCACCAGAGAGACAGAGAGAGCGGCAATGCAAATTGGGACTTTCAGAAAAGCAGATGTTCAGGTATTCCAAGACCAACACATCCTACAACGTAAGGTGAGGTGCCACGTCTAATTACTGATCCATATAAAGATGGGAATATTTGCCTTATTTACCTTTATGTTCTGTTAATAAAAGCAGCTTTATGTTTAGTGGTTAGATAAAATATTAGAGCCACATGAAAGTATTTGAGCCTTCCTGTTCATTTAAAGTTTGGATACTAAAGCTTAAAGCTGACCATTCACTTGTAGATTATTGTTCAATACATTTTGTGCTGTCATCGAACCCTATTTCGATTTCCACTCGAACACCCCATCGTGCAAAGTCCAATGTCGATTTCAAAAGTTGTTCGTTAGCAATACTAATTCACCGAATTTTGTCGATCGACAGAACGGATTTTCGTTTGCGCATATGCAGTGTTCTTGTTGCAATTTTTTTCATACGAAAACGCAACTAATCAATCGATTTTCGATTAAAAAAAAGTTTTCCAGCCTGACTGATCGAGGACATTCGGCCAGAAGTACAGTAATTAAAATCGTTGGGTTCCCATCAACTGATCGATTATCGTTTGAAACTACGAAGAGTGTATGGGCACCTTAAGAGTCCATTTACACTTCCGCGATGTGGTAACACGTGTTAACACAATGTGTGGTAACGCACATAGCATGCACTGTGCTGCCATTTATTTTGATTGACACCCCAACGCAGTAATGGGCAAACACCAATTCCTTCTCTTGTAATAGAGTGGAGGAGAAAGACTCATCCAGAAAGGGCAGACTCCACGCTTAAGCACTAACATAGGGACCAGCACGGGGGAGCAGCAAGAGGTAACTATAATAAAGAAGCCCACATAGCAACAGTAGCAAAGAGATTACCCAGGGACCGCTCCACCAACCCATAGAGCACAAGGGGGTTAGGGGAGCTTCACATGCTATCCAGACTATCACCCAGTCAACTGTTGATTGAAGAGCTAGGGAAACAAAGAAAAAAGAAACCCTGCAGAGAACATTTTGAGAATTAAGATTCCCAGCAGGGAGCTTAGGTCCTTAACTCCTGAAGGCTAGGCAAAAAACTGACCTGCCTCTAGCAGCTGGGGGTTTGGCCACCAGCAAGGGCTGACCCATTCTTTTTAATTTAGCATCCTTCTATCTGCAGGTGGCACTGTACTCCAACAGTGAGATCTTCAAGATTTCCACTATGCTCTTTAATGAATGGAAGAAAGAGAGCAGTTTCTGAAAAAGCTGCCAATGAAGGAGGTGTTGACTAGGACCTGTAAAAAGTGCAAAAGGCATTATGTTTACCCTTGGCAAGCTCAACTTTGGATAGTGTAAGGAATGGGTAGAACCTCTGACAGTTTTGGTTTTTTTTGGACCACAATCTATATTTGAAATCCAAAATATCACATTGTCTAAAGAAAACTTTGATATTTTGGATTTGTTCTAAAGTACTAAGGAACAAGAGGGGAGGCTTAATCATACAATGGGAACACCTGTTGCAGGAAGTGAAGGAAACTTTACCCAATAGGACACAGAGAACAGCACAGATTGGGTGTTGGGCAGAAGTGCTAGAGATAAGTTATAGCGCCAGAGGGTGCATGCAGTGCAACAGTGATCACCTTGTATTTAAAACATATTTAAACCCAAAAGCAAATCTGTAATATACTGTAATATAACTCAGGAGTTAAATCTTAAAAATACATTCAAGTACTTTAACTATTAACAAAAATGCACCTTATTTGTGCATCACTCAGCAGTAGATACTGAAATCATCTCTGAATTGGTGCTGACACTGTCCTTCCTTCTGGAGGGTGGCTACTTTTGTTCCCCATGGTCCCAGTGTCTGTTGAATTTGTATTGTATTGAGTGAACACCACTCCAAACTCACTCCCGTGATGGACTACAATCTCACATTTAGTTCACTAATCTGTATTGAGATTGTAGTCTATCACGGGAGTGAGCTTGGAGTGGTGCTCCAAGCTCACTCCCGTTATATAATACAAATCAGTGAACTAAACGTGAAATTGCAGTCCATCGCAGGTTGAGCTTGGAGTGGTGGCTACTTTACAACACATACTTGGGCCATAGGGAAAAAAAGTAGCCACCCTCCAGAAGCAAAGTCAGGATGATTTCAGGATCTACAGCTGAGTGTTACACAAATTAGACATATAGAGGGTTATTCACAAAGCTGCCGAAGGATCCAGCCGTAGCTTCGGCTGACTTCGGGTTACGGGAGCCCTTCGGTTCAGTAGAACCAAAGGGCTGCTGTACGGGCTATTCACTATTAAAAACATAAACAGCGCTCTCGGATGGGGAATGCTAGCTAGCGTACATGTATGCTGCCCTGAAGACAGGAGGAGTACCTGTGGATGCAGATGAACAAAGGGACACAAGGGCGCAAAAACACAGAAATGGAGCACTAGCGGGTTGGACTGGAGTGTGTATCATAAGGATTGTACTGCTAAGGAATTGTTGACAGTAGCTCAGTTTGGGCTCGCTAATTTCGGGTTCCACTTGACTCTCCATCACACTGCCCAGAGTCAATACCCTTTCAGCAGCATCACGGACAAAGCCGCCTCCCTCCTTCCACAGCATCTCTCCCCGGTGGACGAATCCTCCCAAACAGTACATCAACAGACACCACGAGAGTCCCAATCCTCCGCACAGGCCGCCCACATCCTGATACCTGGATCCACATGTAAGTACCATTACATTAATTCGCTGTCAACAATTCCTTAGCAGCACAATCCTTATGATACACACTCCAGTCCAACCCGCTAGTGCTCCATTTCTGTGTTTTTGCGCCCTTGTATTCCTTTGTTCACTATAGCCCGTACAGCTCCCGAAGTTGGTCGAGCCGAAGGCATATGCCTCAGCTCGACTGAGCCGCGGTGAAATCCGAAGCTGGCCGGACGGCCACCTGAAAGCCTGCTACTGGCAGCTTGGCGGAGCCAGCCATCATCTCACGGCTAGCTCTGGCCACTTGCAATGACAGATCTGTCATTACAATGAGAACTCGACAGAGCCGCCGTGATGTCACGGCGGCTCCGCCGAGTTCTCATTGTGTAATGACAGTTCAGCATCCCCTGGTTACGTAGTGACCAGGGGACGCTGAACTGTAATAAGAGCTTAGCGGAGCCAGCCGTGATATCAAAGCCGGCTCTGCTAAGCTCTCAGCGTAATGACAAAACAGCGTCCCCTGGTTACGTGGTAACCAGGGGACGCTGATCTGCCATTACAATGAGAGCTTAGCGGAGCCGGCTTTGCTAAGCTCTCATTGTAATGACAGCTGGTCCCGGCCAATAGAAAACAGTTGGGTGGAGCTGGCTGTCACTGCTAGCTCTGCCCAATCATTTTCTACAGAGGTACCGAGCAGAATAGCCGAGCCGAATGCTGTTCGGCCCCTATGAGAATAGGCCGAACAGCAGTGAGCAGCCAGTCGAACTCCTTCTGCACTTCTGGTCGGTCAAACTTGCTGAGCATGTTCAGCCGACCCGAAGCCAGACGCAGCAAGCCGATGTACGGCTGATTTCAGACGGTGTACGGCTGAAATCAGCCATACAAGCCTGAAGTGAATAGCCGAACAGAGTTCGGCTCACTTCACTTCAAGTCGGTTATTCACACGCCGGCCTTCGGCAGCTTTGTGAATAACCCTCATAAATTTCAGATCTGTCCGAATTTCAAAACAAAACTAAATCGGACATGTGATTGTTCTCTGGCCAATCCGATTTTTTTTTTGACTGATGGGGGTTGGATTACAGGCACAGTCACGTGACCTCGTCTTGAAATGAAAATTCGGATGGATCCTAAGTCTGAATAATGAACCAAATGAAATTTCGGAATCCAAAAGAAATAAAAATCCAAACAAAAAAAATATTTTTTTTGTGGGGTTACATATCTGACACACATAAGGTACACTTATGGTATCTATTAAGTTAAGGTACTTGAATACATTTTTAAGATTTAACTCCTGAGTTTAGTGTCACTTTAATGTGGTAGCTGCATTAGTTTTTTAGTCTTTTCTCCATTATTTTCATCTGTTGATCCAGCCAGTAATTCTGTCATTTTTCATCTTTCTTTAACCCTTTCCCTTCCGGCTGTTCCAATGTAATGGCCGGACAGGACACTCTGGAATGCGGATGAGCATTTTAAAATGTCCTTACCTGCTCCCGTGCACAAGCGGGAAACCGAAACTGAGATCGGAGGGAGATCAGCACACGCACTCCCGCTGATCTCCCCAGCAATCTCTGAATGCGGACGTGATGTGTATTACATCACTTCCACCTTCAGCTGTCATTTTTCTGGCTTCTGTAGCCAAAGAGAAGCTGGTGAAGCAGAGCTCTGCTTCGTCAGCTTCTTTGGGGATCCCTAGGTGACATTATGATGATGTCTCCATAAAGAGAGCATGTATATTTGATATCACATAGGGTGCTTCTTCTCCCCCTATGTGATAGCAATAAAGTTAAGTGTAAAGTAAAAAAAAAACTTTTTAAGTCCCCTGCCCACATGTACACATACAAACATGGCTTAGGTGTGCCTACATGCAAAAGCGACATTGCTCCCATTGTACCACACGTTACATATCACCGTGAACGTCAGAGTGTGAGCAATAATTCTAGGGCCATCAATCACTGTTAACACTAAATTATTGTGTGGCAAAAGCTTTTAAAGCGTCGCCTATGGCCAATTTTGGGAATGGTAGTTTTTTGCTATTTTTGTTTTTTTTTAATTTTCGGTACTTTTTTTCTTTATAAAGTAAAAACTAAAACCCCAGAGGTGATTAAGTACCACCAAAAGAAAGCTCTACCTGTCCCTAAAAAATTATATAAAATGTGTAAATGTGAAAGTACTGCAGCGCTGAATACTGAAAAATAGCCTGGACAGGAAGGGGCATTAACACCCCAGTCTTCAAGTGGATAAGGCCCCTGTTCACACCAGGGCACACTTGCATGACTTTGCTTCCCGTGTTTGGTCCCTGAAAGCACGACAAAACACGGAAAAGTAGTAATTGGAAAATTTGGCGACATGCATTCCGTGTTTTTTTCCCCGTGTGTAAACATGTGAGGAAAAACTACATGTTCTCTGCCGTGTTTGGGGTACCATCACCTAGGAATGGCAATGGAAGCATATTCTGCGTTTTGAGCACGTTTTGTGAATGCAAGTCAAAGTGTGCACGATATGCCCTGGTGTGATAGACCAAGCTGTCAAACTAAAGTTGAAGGGCTGAGAAAAACCATTTAACACTGACAGAGGTGCTTACAATGGTTAGATTTTATACATTTATATAAAACCTTAAGCTGGCCATACACTGAACAAAAAAAAAAAAATAGAGTAAATTCCTCCATCAACACTACAAGCATGTAAATCAAGAATCCCTTCTGTCCACTGTCAGAATACCCAAACAGAGCCGGAAGCTCATTGGCTACCGGCTCTGTACGTACAAAGATTTTCCAACCGTTTCCTTCCTCAGGAACAGGCCGAAATTCACACAGTGTATGGTCACCTTTAGCCCAAAGGGGCAAAAAAGTGTTGCTGTAGCTAATTAAAAAGTGTCAGCTTAGATTTAATTTGTTATTCAAGTCCATCTAAATCTGCTAGTGCAGGGGTGCCCACAAGGTCGATCGCGATCTACCAGTCGATCGCGTAGCGATCACTGGTAGATCGCCATGTCCTCTCCTCCCGCCGCTTCTCTGGATCCCCGCTGCTCTACCCAGCGGGGATCCGAGAAGCAGTGAAGGAACCGGCGGCGGGGAAGGGAGGAGGACGGAGCCGCTGTCACAGAACTAATGCAGAGCGGTGAGGAGAGAGAGAGACGCTCGGCCAGGATCTGACAGCCGGCGCCTCTATCTCCCCTCACTGCTCGTCCATTCTGTCACAGCGGCTCACAGGTGTTTTTTCGTTGGTAGATCTCAATGAGCTCGTCATTTGAAAAGTAGATCTCCAGACGAAAAATAGTGGGCGCCCCTGTGCTAGTGCATCTAACACTACTCTCTCAACAAGTAGACAATGCTGCTGTCCAAGGGTGGCTTTGTTTCTGCTCCATAGAGTGAAACCACCCTAAGACAGGAAGTGTGTTACTGGCCAGATCACCACCCTAAAAATGAACACTAATACAGCCACCAAATCTAAGGATTGCCAAGCTGCAATATATTACAACTTTGTTTTGGGGTCTATACATGCTTTTATCTAAGATGACAGGTGTGCTTTAAAAATTACAGGGGATCAGTAATGGCATGGGCACCTATCTACCAGGATGCCTAGTAAAAAGTGATGCAAAGAACAGGACATGTCCTTTTCACTTGCATTATCTCCTGACAGCACATGTGTGTGTGTGTGTGTGTGTGTCAGTAGTCATTGACACTTTTCTAACAGCTGGATGCACATTAAACAAAGATCCACCATCATACGGCACCCCACAAAGAGTACTGGCATCTGTATCAATCACCCAGAACAATTATCTCTATTTTAAACATGTCCATACAGCACTCAACTGCTGCTAAGTGTAGACGTTCTGATTATGATGTACGAAATCAGGAATATGAGTCATGACCTTAGGTTAAAAGTGCATGAACAGGATATAATGGATACTATTTAAAGTGTATAGAAAGGTTTGCACACTGCGAATTGCATGAAATGGAAAAAAGTAATTACTAACAGCATGTGTTACACACTTTGAAGAAGTCTAAAATAACTTTAGTTGTAGTTATTGTTAAACAACAAAGAGCAAGGATTCTTTTTCTAAATAGAACCTAAAAAAAAGAGATACGTATATAAACACACATAGTAAACGGGCATTTAAGCATAAAAAGTTGTTCGTGAAGCTTTTCAAGTCAAAATGATAGAATGCAAAGGCATGAAAGAATGGTTAGGACATGGATTGTTAGTGCAGAAGTTCGGCATTGTCATGTAATGGCTCGCACATACATACCCTGTACAGGATGATGTAGCTTATATTAACTTTCCAGGCTGCACCAAAACACACTCCCCTATCCTCCTCCTCCTCCCCTGTGTTCAGGCACACAAAGAGGAGTTCACTCAATGCACTAGTCTCTCTGTTTAGCAAATCACTGAGCCCCACTGTTACAGGAATGTCACAGGATCCTCAATAAACAGTTAAAGGAGGTGCATCCAGCTTTGGAGAAAGACGCTTTTCTGCAGGCAGCCGCAGAAACACAGAGACATGGAAGCAGCCATAATGTGTGTCTGTGCGAATGTGTGTGTGTGTGTGCCTATAGCTCTGCAGCATTGTCAGTGCTGCCTCCTAGCGTCCTGGGATGGGCACACTTCTCTTCTATCCATAGAAATGTTGATCTGTTTTTCATGTTACAGAAATGACACATAGGTGTGAATTCAATCAAGCATTTAGGACACTTTTCTGGCAGTAGGGTTCCTTTTAAACAACTTGCGCCTTATGCATGAAAGCCTTGCAACAGTTTTTAGTTGCAGTTCTGATGTGTGAAAGATTCAGGGCCCATTCACACCACATCCAGATTACCTCCAGACCAGACTGTTTCCGAACCCAAAATGCATCCTAATGTATCCCTATGCTATTTATGACCTCAGTTAATAAATACATTTCAAATTGCGGCAAATGCAATGCACTATGCTCCAGATCTGGTCCAGATCTGGTCCGGAAAATGGTGTGAACCCAGCCTCAGGTAGTTCTTATTACAGTAGCAAATCTTTCAATGTTTCCTACCAAAAAACAACATCCCAATCATCAAAAAGGATGTGGTTGTTATCTTTTCATCAATGTAACAAAAAAAAACATTCCAAATATAAAAATTTTATATTCCAAAAATGTAAATACATACACACTACGAAGACATCTAACATTAAACTAAAGCTCTAAAACATCTTGGGAACCCTGTTAACTGTATAGTCACAGTCTTGTCATATATAGTAGTGTTCACAATAATCTTTACATCCAACACGTTCTGTTGTTTCTATATAATAATATGATATCTATTAAATGTTATAGAAATATCATATGTATTAGATAAGTTGTAACTGTTACCGTTAGTTTTCCAAGATAAGAGCTCAAAAGCTTGGAAACACTAGATTGCTCCTGTTTTCAAATATACTTGTATCATATATACTTGTATTTAATTGTATCTTTAATTTATACAAAGTTGCCATAGCTGGTTTAATCAACTTGAGCTTGACTGTTTTGAGTATCACAACCAATTCTTCACAACACTATCCCCATGTGCAGTATGGTATAAGTTTGCATGACCATATGAACTTGGCTCTCTTCTCCAGGGGAAACTGTGAGGGTTATTCACAAAGCTAGCTGAAGGATCAGCCGTAGCTCAGGCTGATCCTTCGGCTAGCTTCGGCCGCCGTGGCCCTTCAGTTCAGTAGAACTGAAGGGCTGCTGTACGAGCTATTCACTATAGCCCATACAGCAACCAGGTAACCAGGGGACACTAAACTGTCATTACAATGAGAACTCGGCAGAACTGGCCATGATATCACGGCCGGCTCCACCAAGTTCTCATTGTGTAATGACAGTTCAGCGTCCCCTGGTTACCAGGGAATGCTGAACTGTCATTAAAATGAGAGCTCCGCGGAGCCGGCCTTGATATGACGGCCGGCTCCACACTACTTTTTTAACAGTTTTTCTATTCTGCTTGATACCACGGAGGTGCCGAGCTGAATGCCGCTCGGATGTTCGGCTTAGCCGATCCAGAGGTTGGATCAGCTGAGTCGAACCCCTTCTACACTTCGGGTCGGCTGAACATGCAGAGCATGTTCGGCCGACCCGAAGCAAGCCAATGTGCGGCTGAAATCAGCTGTGCAAGCCTGAAGTGAATAGCCGAACAGCTTTCGGCTCACTTCACTTCGGGTCGGTTATTCACACGGCTGACTTCGGCAGCTTTATGAATAACCCTGTGTGTCCTGGTCCAAAAATCTGCAGAGTCACAACATAAACTAGGCTATCAACACAGTATGTCTTGGGGAGTCAAATACTGCAACTCCCTGCTACACAGTAAATGCCTCAAAAGAATGCCACTCAATCATTCATGCAACAAGACGTTAATCCAGATACAACTGTCCACAATGTTGCAGCATCGCATGGGCTCAATATCCATGCCAGTGAGGGCAGATACACTGAAGTAGTGAGTGTAGCCCCCAGGGACAGAAAGTATGTTCCGTGCACACACGGAAGCCAGGGATGTGTTTTCATTCTGAAAATGGAAACCCTCTTTTAAGGTCAGTCCCAACAAAACTGCTTATCAGTTTTGTGTGGATACCGGTTAATTAAATCCCACACTGGCTTTTTATGTCTCAGGAATTCCAGTGATGAGATGTCTACCCTCGTAGCTCCAAGCTGTGCCTTGCTCCCCACCATGGATTCTCCAATTGCTGCATTCACTGTATAACAAAGAAAACTCCAGTATGGAACATGATGCCCTCCTGTAGTAGCAGTGCATGAGCAAACTGGAACGTCTACCCAACACGAGATAATAAGAATCCAATTCAAAAGTGTCACCCACTGAAAAACACTATATTAGTCGGGCATGGCCCTTTGTGTGTTATTGCTTTCATTAAAATGATGTTCAGGGCCTATATGTATTTCCCCTAGGCTTAGAATATTAATAGTTTTAATCACTATAAATTTTTTGTGCTCTGTCGCACTATTCCAAGTCCGTATTTATAAATGCAGTTATGTAACACAGCTAGTCTAATAAGCTAAATTCCTGCAATGCGCACATCACAAACAAGGTGACATGAGGTAGGATGTAACGGTTTTGCTCGGAGGCTTTGATTAAACTGGAAGCTGACCTCAATATGGCGAGAGAGATTTGTCTCCAACAGCCTGGGGCCCACTGATGACATTTGGAATAACTTACTGCTCGTGTTATCAAAGCAAGGAGTCAATAAAAAATTAGGAGACTTCAGAAATTCCTCAAGTAACAGAATTTAGCTGTGAAGGCCATTTCCTCTAAACAGCTAGAATCAAAGGAAGTCTTACAAGTAGCCAGGCAATGAAGATAGGACCTTCATGGCTCAGAAAGGGTGGAAAGAAGAACAAGGCCTGGAGCCATGTACTTCCTTCGTCCTGTGACAGGGCGACAAGGGAGCTCTAACGCAAGGTGACAGAGCCTGAGAGAGCAGAGAAATGGGGCGGTGTGGAAGAGTTTGGCTAACATTGTGCACTCACAATGGATTATCCAAAGATCACTGACATAGCACATCAGCTGTGACATTTGCTAGAGGATAGTGCAGCAATGAAAGACCTTGACAAAAGAATGCTTTACTCATCTATTTTAGTAGTTTCATGCTAATGGATCATTAAAGGTCATATGATAAAATAAAGGTAGCTAACGTGAAGGCTAGACTAGCCTACAAAATAAAGTCTATCAATTCCCATGGAACTGGTGCCGTCACTGAGGTCCTATTATTTATATTATTTGAAAAGAAACAAGAACGCCATATATTTTGTGCTTTCTTCATTAGCAACCAGTTTTGCATGAAACCCATTGTTCATTGTCACCTTCTAACGGAAACAGAAAAATCATTGCAAGGGATGCTAGAAACCATAAGTCCTACTAGTTATTAAGCCATCTATGACCAGCTTTATCCAATCACTGTTTCATATGACTTCATCAAATATGACTTAATTCATTTTTGATTACTATAATTAACTGTAAGTAGACCCACACCACAATTTCTGTAGACATCTAGCTAAATTTAAAGCCAAACTTCAGTCAATTATTTTTAGCTTTGAACAGATTGAGGTAGAGATAGAACCCCTTAGGTTTACTATTGGGACGGGAAGTGATAGCAAATCTCTGCAGTGGGGACACAGACTGTCGTTCTTCCTTTTTCAGAGACAACTACTTTTCTGATTCCTTTCCCCTGCTGTCACAGGCTAGGAATCAGAAAGAGTCACAGACAGCAATAAAAACTGAACAGAAGTATTTAAAGCTAAGCTGTGGGAATAAGACAAAAATTGACCTTGAAGTGCCCCCCCTCCCCTTTGCTGTGCATGGCCCCATTCCATTGGAAAGGCTTCTCTCTACTTCCTATCCCAGTGACTGTGTCACTCCAACAGGGGACACAGGCAGGCAGCAATAAAAACCCAACAGATGTTTAAATTCTGCCCAACTATCATGCGTCAATAAATAAGGTTACATACTGTGCAGGTTTTCCAAGTGCATCTATAATATACTGTATGTCACAAATAACAAGCAATACCGATTTGTATATTAATGATTAAAAATAAAAACTATTATTATTCACAAAATAATGTCCCCCCAGCATAAGCGAAACATGTATTTGTGTAGAATCTTATGCATGTTGTCAGATATAAAGTATCAATATTTTGCAGTTAGATCATCAGAGAACAGCCTAGGTTTCGCCTCATTACCATTCAAGTCCTTTACAGCCAGCAATGCAAAAAGAAAAACCATTAATAAAGAGAAATGGGCATTTGTGACAATGCGTTCTCCAATCTAATTGTGATCAGGACCAGGGGAAACCTTCTGGAGGGGTTACTGAAATTATGGGTCTACCCTTGAGTGCTAAAATAATGGAAATCATCAGAGCACGAAAGTAGTAATAATAAGGTAAAGATTTATTCCTTGAATCACACCTCATGTTAAAATGCATGTATTAGCCACATGTGCCTTTTATCCCAATCAATATTTATAAGAAGGCAGCCTATCAATAGCACAGTTTTGAGATTCTCTTAAAATTGGATTTTTAGTGTGCCAACAATCTAGTAACACGTATATAAAAAAAAACATACTTTACTGTATTGTTACGAAACCAATAATCATAAATCACTGTATCAAAGTTTTCAGGTATAGTGCAATCACAATTTCACATTAGCGCATTTTGCATAAACGCCCCTGTTGTTTGTAGATCACATATTACTTTACAGGTACATGATTTCAAATTTTTGATTACAACCCCCTGGGTCCATGAGGATTTAATCAACTTCAAGAGTGTGATTTGTTTGCATTTTCAGTTCATTTCGCAATAGGTTTCGTCAGGATCAGGGGG